TCCTGTAGCTCTAAGCAGTGTTTGTCCTCTTACTATCCTCCCAGCCCCTGTTCTGCCATCCATTTATCCAAGTTCATTAGGAAGGTCACTGTTTTCCTCTGTCCTTCTAGCTTTTATGTCTTCTGAGTGTCAGATTTTCCAAGCCTTCTTTCCTCATATGTCCCAAAAATTTCTATTTAAATTTTTATTCTACATACAAATGTGCTTTTTGTTTCTTTTTTCTTTTTTTAAACACTTTCTCATTTCTCATATTTTCTGTCCATAGCAGAACTAAAGAAACACCAATTAAAACTTTTCACACTTGTTGATGCTTTATTTGTGACTTGTGTTATTTACTAGTGGCTATGGAGTGTATATATTGGAGACACGATAGAGTTATGGATGACTGATCAGACTGAGGAATTGGAGAGCAGAGTTTGAATTCCAGTCGAGTTCATTACATTCACTTACATGATAATACCCTTGAGAAAGGTATGAATCCATTCCCCACCTCCCAAACAGTTATGGGTAATTAGTAGGACAGACTGGGTTCTCTCAACATAGGTGACAACTGGTCTAGGAGAAGGAAAAACTCTAAATTCAGAACCAACCTGTAGAAAGTCTGGTTCTATTATGCTATCTTGCCCAGGAAACACTGCTGCTACTGCCGCTGCAGTATGTGTGGTGCCCCTTAAACCTTGATGGGTTATAGGTCTCATAATTGGGATAGTATCAGGCTGAGTAGAGAGCAACTGAAGTTGGGATGACAGAAGCATGAGTCAAAGAAGAATAATGTTTGAGAAGTTTTTTTTTTTTTTTTTATATAATTTCTATGATACACTAAATCAGAAGTTTTATAATGTAATATTGAAATTGCATAACAACAGAAATCCTGTAACAATATCCTCAGTGTTGGAAAATGCAATTTAAAAAAAAAGGATATTATTTTTAAAATGAAAGTAAGAAAGATGAGAAGTTAGCTTCCTTGCTGTCTTCATGTTTTTAGATATCTTTATTAGATGGAACACTTGTTTCCATACGAGTAATTTCAAGACCAGATCAACTTTAATCCATTTGGATTTATTGCTCAAAACTGGATCCTTTGCTAGAGTAATCTATTCTAGTCTTGTGAAATAAACAAGTAAGAATACATTGCAACATATGCCTAACACTAGATTGTAAGTTTTACAGGAAACAGTTACAATTTTCATTTTCTATGGAATTCTTAAAATCATGGTTATTTTTGTTTATATTACTTATATTTTGAAAAGGATTCCAGCAGTGTTTAACCTTTGTGCTTACAATAAAATGGTATGTTAAAAGGACGGTTATTCACTTGACACTGCTATTATTGTATACACTTTTCACTTCCTCGGCAATGTTAAGTTACAAGATTATAAAAATATGTGAACCAAGTACAATGTGATATTTATTATTTAACCTTAATAGAGATTTATTATTTACCATATTACAAAGGAATAAATTTGACAAGAAATCATTTTATACAAATATTTATAAGAAATTACAAAATTATTAAAATATCTAAAAGGCTTTCAACCTATTTTAGTGAATTTATGTGGCAAGAACAAATGAAAGAAATGGCTGAAAAATAGATTTTTTTTTTCAAAATTGCTAATTGCTTGTAGTTATGTGTTTATTTGAATTTTTTGTTTACAGATATTTTTATCAATTTATCAGTGAATTTCTTATTTATTTCTTTATAAAATGGCAAATCAATATTTCATGATAGTTGGTTCACATTTTTAGAATCTTTTAAATATTGGGTTGGTGCATAATTATCAGGCGTTTTTGGAGGCGAGTTATTTGTTAATAAAAAAATTGCTGTTTTGTTTACTTTTTTTAATATTATTTTATTTTCAGGTTATAAAAATGCCTGTTGATAATCATACTCTCTGGAATAATCATTTAAATATGTCATTGTTAAATTATGTTTCTTTTTTCATTGTTTAAAAATGCCTGATAATTATGCACCAACCCAATATAAAATTATATTCGTAAATAAGTAATCTAATAAATAGTGTTTAATATCTTTGTCAGTTCTCAAGAATAAAGAAAATGTTTAAATCCACTTTCATATATTTGGGTTTTATTAAAATTCTAATCATTACTTTTTTAAACAATAAACATTGCTGATCACTTGTGGGATGAAATGCCTGAGGAAAGCAGTGAACAAGACCAGGTGAGACAAGATCAGGAATGAGGCAATAAGAGATATGGTAAGAGCAATAGAAATCATACAACACATCAAACGATGGAGGATCAAGTGGTTCAGACACCTCATTTGTGTGCCTATCAACCAACCAGCCCTACGAGAATACACCCTCAGGTACTCTGGCTGGAGAATGAGAAGCAGACCAAGAAGATGCTGGAGCAACTCAGTGGTAGACACTCTTAGAGCTCATGAGATATTTCTCCTCCAAGCCACTTGCCTTACCGCTGACAGACAACTGTGTCTCCCCATGGTGCCTAACAGCACAAGTGAAAGGAAAAACTGAACTTTAGTTCAAGTGATCAGCAATGTTTATTGTTTAAAAAAGTAATTAAAGATTGCTGAGGGAGCCAGAAGTGTGTACAGTAATAGCAGTATCAAGGGAATAACCTTTGTGGGCAAAAAACATTGTCAAATTTTTTTTTTTAAATGTACTTTAATTAAATAATTACTTACAGAACAATATAAAAATTTATTTCTCTAAAAAAAAGAAAAAAAAAAGCATATTTCAAATATGTGCAACAGCTTTGTTATTGTTCTATATAATTAAGTATTGCCCAACCCAGGAATTGAACTCACGACCTCCAGCTAATAGAAACTTATGCTTTGTTGTTGGATTAGCCTATCTCACCTGTTCATTTTAATAGTAATCCTCTATCTTGAGTAACTCTCGAGCCTTGTCTTAGACAAACTTTACTATAAAAAAGAATATGCCAACTTTGTTTTGAAATTCTATTTGTAAGAGTTAAATATATAAGTTTATGAGGTTTCTTTCTTAATGGTTTATGATGTTTAGTTTTATATTATGACCTATATAGAAGACCACATTCTTGCATGATAAATTGTTATTAAGTAAATACCCAACAATAAAAAAGAAATAATTTTTTTGTGTATGGATAAATTTAAATTCATTAAAGAGGATTATTTATTTGTTTACTGCTTTTTGAATATGGGCATGTAGCCAAATGGTTAAAACATTTGCTTTCTGACACAGGTTTGAATCTCACCATGGTCAATTTGTCTTGAAGTTGGATTTGGTATCAGTCTGAGGGAGGCGATCTCAGTCAAAAGTGTATACAGTAATAGCGATATCATGGGAATAACCATTCTTTTGATACACCACTTTTTTTGCAGGCACAAAGATTACATATTTCCATTTCCCTCTGAACATTGTCATGTAAAGAGGGACACATTTCCGCAGCTAACTTACTCATTTTTTTTTCAATGTCCCCATCAGTCAGCTGTAACAGAGAATCGAGTATACCCAATAAGAGACTCAGAGTTGGTTGCATGTGGTGCTGTAAGCACCATGAGTGTAAAAACATGGTTGGATAAGGGCTGGCTCATACCATATCCAACGGGAAGCATATCGAAAACCTGGGAATTTTCTTCCTTGATTGCATTCATCCCTTTTCTCTCAAAGAACTCCACTGCTGGATATGGTATGAGCCAGCCATTATCCAACCATTTTTTTTAACTCCTGGTGCTTACAGTACCACATGCAACCAACTCTGAATCTCTTATCAGGTTTCCTTGATTCTTTGTTACATCAGTCTAGCAAGTTGAATTAATATTTTCATCTTTCTGATGATAGTAGGAAAAGGTTACTGAATAAGAATAACCAAAACAAAGGTTGGAAATGAATAATAATATTTATAACAGGAACAACATAACAAGATTAGCCAGTGGTGTGTAGTAAGTAATCAACTGCTAGTGGTGAGCTAGAAGTGAACCCCAAGTGGAAAACAACATACAGTATATACCACTGTATTTATAGGAATAACAACATACAGTATATACCACTGTATTCATAGGAATAACAACATACAGTATATACCACTGTATTCATAGGAATAACAACATACAGTATATACCACTGTATTCATAGGAATAACAACATACAGTATATACCACTGTATTCATAGGAATAACAACATACAGTATATACCACTGTATTCATAGGAATAACAACATACAGTATATACCACTGTATTCATAGGAATAACAACATACAGTATATACCACTGTATTCATAGGAATAACAACATACAGTATATACCACTGTATTCATAGGAAAAACAACATACAGTATATACCACTGTATTCATAGGAATAACAACATACAGTATATACCACTGTATTCATAGGAATAACAACATACAGTATATACCACTGTATTCATAGGAATAACAACATACAGTATATACCACTGTATTTATAGGAATTGGGACATACCGATTATTGTCTATAGGTACAGTATAACCGGAAGTTATCAATATGTTTTACCTATCCTAAAAAGCCATGGCCATTCCTGTAGACCTTTTGGTCTTGAATTTATTATGTAGTCTTGAGTGCCAACATTACATGGACAGTTCTTTGGTATAAACATGTTTCATCAATAATTTGTTGCCAGAAGTTATCACAAGATTGCTAAAAATGTTACAAAATCAACGCAGGTGACCATTTGATGTTGTTTCTGGGTGCATTCAAACATTTTGGCTGACGTCTTCTGTATGAATTGATTTTGTTTTTTGTGGCTTATCAACCCTTTGCAGATTATTTAATTCTAGAAAATATTTTTACATTGTAAGAACTTTTTGGAGATAATTATTTTTACTGATAATTTTTTTACTAATTAACCCATAGCTTTGAGGTGAAGAAGAGATGGATTCATACATTTCCCAAAAGTATTTTTGTATTAATGAATATAATGAACCCAACAGAAATTGGAACTCTGCTCTCAGATTTCTAATTATGAGCAGTTATCTATTACACCATTTGCAAATCCAAGCTTACGGCATGTGCATTCTCCAGTGGTTACCCATCTAGGTACTGACTAGGCTCAACATTACTTAACTTCGATGATCATATGAGAACTGGTGTTTCAACATATGTCCATAAGCCTTCCTTATGAATTAAACACAATGCTGTTGTCTCGGCAATTATTTTGGTTAAAATTTATTGATTGGCCTGGGTCTTGGTTTCATAAAATTTTCATGCTGCAAGTTGACACACCATTTTTTCTTCACAGCTATATTCAAGTAATGTAACATACTTTAGACAAAACCAATACTTTAAATTAAACAAATAAGATAACCAAGCCCCCCAAAACATTAAACAAATTCAGTAAATAATAAACAACAAACTACAAATGAACACACAAACTCAAATAATCAAGTAATAAATAATGAATAAAAAGTTATCAAAAACATTATAAAATAGTTACAAATAAACACATTCAGATCCACAATAAATTTCTACTCAATAGCCTATAGAATAATTCAAAACATAATCATTACTACCCATTCAATAACTGTTAGGATAATACACTAGACTTTACTACTCAAACCATAATGAATGACCAGCCAGCATATATAGTCAAGCCAAAATATAACATGCCTGCACAGATCATTGCATTGAAGCATGAGACAGACCGTTGATGCTTGGTGTTGACCTCAGTGTCCACTTACATGCACACACACGCACATATATTATCCCTCATCAGTAGCATGAATGATGAGGTAGAAGCCATTGTTAAAGTGTAAGATGAATAACCTGATCAGAATTAATAAAGTTTGCAATGAAAAGAAAAAAAGGTCAAAAAGATGAAGCTGCAAAAATCATGCAAGCAAGAAAATAATATAGTTAAAGCAAATCTAAATTGTAAGTTCTTTTGCCTTCCTACCAAACTAGGAGTTGGTGTTTGTACACAAAAGCAAGGTCGACCAAACAAACACATTATGTCTGTCTACTAGGTAGATCTGGACTGAGTCATGTCAAAACACAAGCTGTCCCATTTTATTGACTAAGAAAAATATCCCAGCATGCATTCTGTGTCCTTCTGACCTAAGAGGGGGGGACTTTTGCTGTCATTCCCCCCTCCCATTGGGAAATCAACGATAAATCTGCATGTGATATATGTTATATAACTTTCATAGTTATTATTGTGGATGCCCATATTTAAAATGGACACTTCATTTTTATTTTAAACCGTATGTAATACAGCCTGCACGTTTGAAAAATGTTAATAAAGAAAATGTACTCTCTGGCTTTGTAGGAAACCACTTTTTGATCTGGTGTGCTTTCTTCTACAAAGGATTGCATAGGTTCAATCCTTGTCAGAGACCACATTTTCTTTATTAAGATTTCTCAAATGTGCAACCGTAATAGAAACTAAAATGGAATGTCTATTTCAAATACAAGTATTTGGTACTAGTGTCTTTTTTTTTTTCAAAATCACATAATGGCTTTCTTAGTAGTATCAACCATGAAACATATACCTCCCCCGATTACCTGCTCTAGTAATTCCTAGTTAATACAGGGTAAAAATTTGTTGAGAGAGCTGATTCACTTTCAAATACCTTAAGTCTAAACCAGCAAATAATTGAAATGTAAATATATCTAAGATAAATCAGATAGTTTTTGAAATCCGAGAAGAAAGATTGTTTTACACACTTTCTTGATGCATTTTAACTGATAATAAGTTTTCAGCAAAAATAAAGCTACATATGTTTGTGTACTGAAAATAATATCCAACAATTAATCACGACCTCCCCAAAATCTGTATACAAATAATCTGACCTCAATGTCCATTTATATATTTTTAAAAGTATATTTTTTATCATATATATATATGTAGCGAGAGAGGCAAAAGTGCTCATTATCAGGGATAGAACATAATATCTAAGTGGAAACCACGGTCAATATGGAGGGACAACAGTGTTTGTTGTTTGAATGCAATTTTCATGGCCTGAAAATGGTGTTCAAGCATAAAAGTGATTGTTGCCACTCAATGTCCAATTATATATATATATATATATATATATATATATATATATATATATATATATCTCAAGAACAATATTGTGGAAAAAGTTTTTTTGTGTCACATGTCCTTTAGGTCTTCAACCATCTAAATTTGTTATATTGGTATAACTATACATGTGCACAAATGAAGGTTGCTGGGAATTTATATTTAAATTTTTTTTTTTTAATCTAGCTGATTTCATTTAGATGCTTTTTATTTTTCTTTCCATCACTTTTGTTAGATATATCACACTGCAATAATAGAAGCTCTAATAGATTTAAAAAAAAAAAAAAAAAAATTGTCAGATTTTCCTCTCTCTCTCTCTCTCTCTATATCTATATATATATATATATATATATATATATATATATATATAATAGTACAGGTAATAGATCCATTGGTATGTAATCCAGGTTGAGCCTCGTAATCAGATATTAAACTGAGCCATAGAGAGAGCTCAATGTATTTATTATAACAGAGTATATATATATAATACAGCAAAAAATCCCAAATTTCCTCATGTGGGTATAGTCTATTTATCCAACGTTGTGCCAGTTTGAAATAGACTATACCCACATTTTTTGCTGTGTATATAATATAATATAATATATATATATATATATATATATATATATATATATATAATGTGTGTGTGCTGACACTGAATATGAAAAGTATGCTTTACTTGTAATACAAGCTAGTAATCATAGTCCTTGAGTTAGCCAACTTTCTGAAAATGCCCAGGTCTTTCATGTTTTTAAGGTCAGGAACTATCTGGAAACCTCTAGCAGTGGTATGTCATCCTTACCCAAATGGAAGAAACCTTCTAAGTGGTCTGAAGTCTTCAGGATGACCAAATTTGTCCATCAGGTTGAGGATATCATCAACTTTGACCTCAGCAAGTCTATGGGGATCAATGCTTCAAGTTGTGAGATATGTTGGATCGAGTGGGGCACACTGGGATATTCCAGTAGGACTATATTCCTTTCAACATTGCTGCTGCAATCTAACAGTGGTTGTCCAAGATTTTTCTTGATCATGTTATGCTACAACTTAAATAGAAATGGCTAATTTGAAAGTTTTTATGACAAAAGAAAACTTTAATTTTTGAAATAGCATTGTTCATGGCGATTAATGCATAAATTTACAACATTCTAAAAGGGATCCACACTTCATACATGTACTGGAATATTTAGAAATGTCTATTAATATTTAAGTGTTGATTAGCCCATATTTTGATTTGAATATTGATTTATAATCATAATCCTTTACATTTAACGCCTGGGTCATTAGGGAACTAATGTTGTCTGACAAAGGTCAGGAGTAATGACAACTGCACAAACTGAAACCTTGAAGCCACAATGAATTTTGGAGATTTTTTTTCATTTTCTTTCTTTCGTAAAATACGTCTAGTATGATAAGGAAATAGAAAAAAAAAATCTTCTTTGAGACGTCAATAATCATTATTTTCATCTTTGAGAATTTCTTGAAAATATTTAACATATCATTACTTTGTTTACTCTTTTTCAGGAAGCATGTTATGTTTGGGACGATCAAATTACTTCCGCTTCAACCATCCTCAGCAGGCCCAAATTATGAAAAATGCTATGCCAGACTGCCGTATTTCTATGGTACCTCTGAACTTCTTACACGGTAAGATTTTTAATTTCTTATTTTTGCTTTTCCTTTCATCATGGATATAGGCAAGAACAAATACCTCTACTTTGCTGATTTGTACTGCTTTTTTTGCTTTTTTTTTTAAATAGAGTTCACTCCATGCAAGGCAGTAAACCACTAGGACACAAGGGGGTACTGGGTATGGAAGAATTAGGGACAGAAACTGTAAATTGATGAGATCTCGATACCAGTCTAGTACTGTGCTTAAATTCAGAAAGTTTAGGTATCATAGCAAAGAACTCATCCAAACAATTAAGTATTTATAGACAAGGCAAAGGAAGGCAACCTTGCAATGGTGGGAAAGTGACTAAAAGCTGAGCTAGTAGATCAGGACTGGTAATATTACTGATTCCTTTTTGGGATTTTATCAAGTAGCTCAAGAAAAATAGGAGCACCAGATCGTATGTGGCAGCAATATTCTGGATGCATGGTAGACTTAGAGATATGTATGTTAAATGGAGAGAAAAAGTAAATCATTTTGATCAGTGCTAAAGGAAACTGTTTGAAAAAAGATAATTATATAACTTTCATTGTATTAGAAAATAATTTCCTCTGTTCTTATAATGATACTGTGGTGGTTTTAGCTTTATCTACAATATTATAATGAATGGATCTCACAAGAATGGGCTAAGGGGACATAACTCCAACATTGTAAATTTATGCTTGCTAAAATTTGAAATCAAATTTTCACTTGTTGATGTTCATTAGTCTTTTTGGCAAACAATTTTGTCAAAAAAAAAAAAGCAACATGTAATAAAACATAATTGTAAGGTATGCTATATTTGAGTTAAAGTGGTTGATATCAGGGATAGACAGTATTTAAATATAAAAGTGGACATTGAAGTCAACACCTAGTGATGACAGTCTGTTTCATGCTTATATACAATCAATAGACCATTTGTGCCTTTTTTTTTTTTTTTTTTTTTTGGCGAGAAGGGGGAGACATATATATATGTGCATATGCAGTAATGCCTTGAGATACTAGTGTACTGACATGCAAGCTGGAGTTTGTTTTTTTTTTTTTTCTTTTTTTTCTTGAGATACAAGCGAGTTTCAATTAAGCATCCACTAGTTGGCGCAGTGAGGGCCAAGCTTCATGATTATTTCCACTCACAGTACACATGTTCACCTGGCTCATGAAGGACCTCTTTTCTGTTGTTTTTTTTTTTTTGCCATTATTTTGCAAAATTCGTTTAGTGACACCATGGGTATGAAGAAAGTAAGAGTAAAAAAACCACGGTGAAAAGCCGAAACACATGATTTCACTTGAGCTAAAATATGAAATTATAAAAAAGATGCGGAAGACGTCTGAGTAATGGATTTGGTGAGGCAGCATAAGCATTCTACATGAACGATAAATAAAAAAAAAATTATATAATTTAAAAAGAAATTACTTAGAAAGATG